TAGTCTACGAAGACATTGACTGTTGAACTGAGCCATTTAGACTGCCTGGTTAAGGTCTACGTGGTTATCATATTCAGTGGTTAGAGGCTTTGGGCTACATGTTTCAGAATCCTTTGCATTGGCGCGGGTACTTTGACATTTTGTCTTCCCTCAGATCCTAAGTTTCTAAATTTTCTATGATCTTTTTGTGATTCAGTAATTTATATTTTTTCTAACTTTATTTGGGATATCCAACTTTCCCTATTACCATTGATACTGTTACTAACTATACTAATCCATGATTTGCCGTGACAGTTTCATCTCGTTGTGGTGATGGAATATAGCAACTTGAGCCAATGTACACACGTACCAGGTTCTAACTTTCGTATAACTGACTAACTGATTGAATAGAATATAGTCAGTAGATCGAAATTTTTGTGTTGGAGTGTAGTGTGTCATTCAGTTAGTAACTAGATTTGTACGCAAATTCATCTACTCGAAGCATGTTAACAGGGTGTTTTAAATACTGAGGTATTGATTTTCCAAAGAGTATGGTAAATATCTAGCATACTAATAATACATAATTGGTTTTCTGCTCCTATGTTTTGTTCAAAATGAATTAGTCATCATCACTGGCTTTGGACATTTATCGGACTATATCACGAGTTAATCGAAGTTGGGAATGTGTACCATTGTACTCTAATCTAGTGGTTTTAATGGTTGTGTTTGCTACGTGGCCCATAATTCTTGGATTATGATTATGCATCACTGTGAGTTTCTAACAGTAGGACGAAATAGATCTTCAGAGACAACGGTTATGTGAGAAATATCACCTACATATTCAAATAATCTTCACTAATCCTCTTCGTCTAAGTAAAATGGAATTTTTCGTTTTTTTTTAAAATATATTTTTCTTTGAATATCTACATGGTAATTTTTCCTTAATTAAATAATTTTAACGGTTACTATTTCCATTATAATTTATTCTGGTTGGTATCATTCCATTGTCAACTTTACAATACAGTTTTCTATCTCCATATCAATACATCTGGATAAATTATTGTACTGTCAGAATAGAAAACGCTTATGTTTATCCATACCAAAAATATAAGATAACACTATTAAATCATTGACTAGTTGAATATTGTTAGACCTTCAAAATTAATGGCTAACAACTTAAAAATGATAATATTTAAAATCTTCAAGTCTAACAAAATACAAATTCATTTGTTATTGTATATCTTGTTGTGATTAGTCGATACTTTAATACTTTTCTTAACTCCATCTTCAAAATTGTCTTTATTAATTTCACCACTATTTCCTAACTTGTTAGTTATTCTTAACATTATTATTTTTAAGGAAAGATGGATAGTGGCTAGCAGTGGAATCCAGAGACTCGTCAGCTTGATATACCCACACCTCAGAATTGATGTTCACTCTGGGACTCGAATCCAGTACCATTCGTTTCAAAAACACCATCGCGTTATCCACTCAGCTACTGAGTCCTGATAATCACTTGCTTGTGCGATGGAGTGGATTTTGAATTCGCTTGGTATTGTTTTGCTTGAATCTTCCCATCGAGGTTTAAGACTGCAATTGATCAGTCTGGTACATCCAGCTGACGAGTCCCAAATAGGACGAAACGCGCGTCCTGGATTCCACTGCTAGCCACTATCCATCTTTGCTTATAAAGCTTGTGAATTAAGGCAATATAGAGGCAATACGCACAGTATGCACATATGCCAATAACAGACTGATCAATTGAAATCCTAAACATCAATTGGAAGATTCAAACAAACAATACCAAGTGAATTATTATTTTTATTTCACTGTTCTCCCATTTTATCAATCTCTTTTCAATGAAGTAGTACGATTTACTCTTATATAGTATCTCATTTTCTATATATTTACTAAAGTGGTCTTATTAATGCTATTGTTTCCTTCATGAAATAATATACTTGTAATCCCCTTGTCTTCATAATGTAGAACACTTGATGAATGTAGAAAGTTTCATCAGTTTTAAATGAATAATGATTCTTGAAATTATATAGATGTATTATTGGTATTAATTTAGTTTACTTACTCTTTCATCTTTTTATCTTAACATATTAGTTCTTCCAGGTGTTAAATATCGTGAAATGGGAGATATAATTTCAAAAAATGCTTCACTTGGTGGATTTTCTGTTGTCAAGACTTATTCAGGTCATGGAATACATCGATTATTTCATTGTCCTCCAAATATTCTTCACTATTCACGTAAATTCACTTTATCAATAAAAACATTTTCACTGTTTCATATATAAAGTATATTTGTAAATTCATTATAACTATGTAAGAATAGGTGCTTATTTTTGCCGTATTCATAACGATAGATTGATTCATAAATCATCATTGATGTATAAACATTAGGAAATGTATTAAAATTTAGGTTTTGTCATTCCATTAACCATTGACACACACACACACGCACACACTGATCGCTTAATTTCATTAGGAGATTATTGAATCGGATGAAGAAAAAAATTGCTTTTTACTTTTTTCTTTAAAAAAAAAGAGATACAAAACAAACACAACCACAAAACTAATTGATATCATGCAAGAAAAACTATTTCTGTTCAATGAAAATTCTGAAAATATCAAATGGTCATAAATTGTTCATCTTTGTGATACATTGATAACATTTTGATATAGTACATAGTACTACTGATTGAATTCCAATGAAGTAGTAGTAGTGATACGACAATCTTAATTATTATGTTCAATTTTATGTATTGATAATTTGCGGTCAAGGTTGTGAGTATTTTTGTTGTTTGATTTCTTATCGATGTTTAATCATCTCCTTGGCAGACACCTCTTTGATGTCTGTTGAATCGTCATTTCCTGTGTAAGAACATACTTCGTTTTAAAGATATATTTTGATGATAATCTACAGAGACTTCTGAATATCGATATATATATATATATATATATATATATATCGGTTACAAATGATGTGTAAAATTGAAATACAATAACTCATTCAGTAGTCGTCCATACCTCTCAACCTCAACTGTGTTTTTGCAGCAGTCTCAAAATTACTCAGAAATTTCCGTTTAACTTAAAGCAACTATTGTTTGACGAGTTGAGTATTGTGGTACACATATGATTTATTAGCGTCAATCATCTGTTTGAATGTATAAACTACTGATCATCTGTGTACAATCCTCTTACTACATGCTCTTGCTCTCATTGTTAATTCATGATTTTAACTTAACTGAGTGGGCCAAGTATTAAATTCATATCTATCGTTGAAAATAGTACTTAAATTGTTATACAACACGTCGTTTAAATTCACTCATATTGTAGTATAATTAAATAATAAACTTTTCAATATTTCGGCTTTTTTCTTTAATACGTTTTAAGGTAATAAGGCAGTCGGTGTCATGAAACCGGGACATTGTTTCACTATTGAACCAATGATAAATGAAGGCGATTGGCATGATGAATTATGGCCAGACAATTGGACTGCAGTAACTAGGGATGGTTTAAGATCAGCTCAATTTGAACATACTATGGTTATTTCAAAACCAGAATTAGCCACATCGAATGGAATGGCAATCGAAGTATTAACTAAACGTCGTATCACTGGTGCTGATCCATTAAATGGATGTAAATTCAATGAAGAAGATGCTTTACATTTTGAACGTTATGGTAGACCTTATTTTGTAGATCAATTGTATAAATTAGGTTTAAATACTGATTGTACAGTGTTTAAAAGTATGTCTAAAAATTAGACAATTTATAAAACTTTCAAAATTTGAAAAAATCCATTCTCTTTCATATTGAGCGAATGCTTTTACGCTTTTTGTGTACGAATGATCTTAGTAGAAGAAAAGAACTGTATTCAAAGATGATACTTCCTCTTTTGTGATATTGATTCTTGTTTCATTTCTATTATTATATTATTAAGTTAATACTCGATAATCTATAATAAGACGTTAATATTATATATTTATACTGTCTAAGGTAGCTGTAACAGTAATATTATCGATTTTAGAATTTGATGGTTACATTTTAGACTACGCGATGATACGGATAACGAAGAGGCTACATGACATTCATTAAATTCAGTCAGTCATAGACAACTTAAAATCTAGAATATATCTGCACCGGTCCAAGTTCCCTCACTGCAATAACAAAACGAAGTGAAACTGTCAAGATAAATACCGAAACATTATTACCATCGGTGGTTATAAAAAGGATTAGGTTTAGAGAATATGACTGAAGAAGAAAGAAATGTTTCGTAGGATGAAAAGTGAGGAGTGGTTGTGAATTTCAGGTTATAAGAGAACACAAAGAGTGCACATATGTGAACTGCATGACACAATGTCTTCAACCATTGATAACCTCATATGAATAGTCTACACACATTAACGCGGTTCATAAATATGGTTAATGATTTCGTGCTGTGATGGGATATCTTGATTTGGTTCTCCTTATTTGTGATTAAATACTTGCAGCGTATAAATATATATATTCCCGAAATCACAGGTCTGAAATTACTCAGTTTTTTCACTTTAGTAAGCGTTATTTCGTAAGATTGAATGTGTGCTATCCAGATATATGCGTATATACTTTGTAGTGAGTATAAATTAATAAAATTCTTTGTAACACCAAGTAACATGCATAACTCAACTTTGTTTTACTTCTCTGTATTAATCAATGAAATAATGTGCTTAACGATTGAACAAAGACTTTTAAAATACTTCTGTATAAAATAGATGACCTAAATTGGAATTATTTAAGCTATGTATGGCATAATTTCAACCATACTTTTAGTTGTTTTATTTACAATTATTTAGATGCTAAAAAAATCTTTTATGTTTTTTAATTTTTAATTTCAATGTTTGTAGTTTCAAAAGATTTTAGAATCACTTACGTATAACTGTATGATTGTATATCGGTGACCGGTATATATATATATATATATATATATATATATATATATATCGGTGTACACTTCGAAATCTTTCCATTGAAACGCCGTGGATGATGGTTCTCAGGCAGTTGTCCGTTGGGCTCTGCGGTCACGCTCTCAATTCACTAAGATCACCACTACTCAGCTTCATATTCAGGTCATTTGTCAGCTGGAAGTGACAGCTGCTCTCACACCTCTAATAGCACCTGATATCTTCTTATATACGAACAAATTCTTCTTCACGACACCGCATTCTTGCATATCTCTCTCGCCTCCCGTAACCAATGTTAATAATTTGAGTTTACGAAGTGTTATTCCTGGTCCTCTGAAATCACTCTCTAAACCACATTTTGTGGCTTACAATGTTCAAACTTCGTTTCAGGTAGAAGGACAGGATTTTTTTAGCTAAGTTTCTAGAATCTCGTCCCTTCTGTGTATGCTGCCGCTCCGGAACGCATAAAGATGACCTTAAGTCGAGACCCAACTGCCACTTCTTGTGACCTCACTGGTGTATTAGTAGAATTTGGTTCAAGTGTAGAATAGGCTCTTCTAGACTGGGTTGTAATATATTGTAGCTTGTGGGTTGTTCGATTAAATGGGACAGTAATTATTAGGAAGGGTAAAGGTACACTCCATCGCCTCTCTTGGATGCAGTAAAAGAAAACTGCTACGGGAAGCTATCCAACCTCCTCTGATATACTAAACCCTTGGATGTAATAATAGTAACATGTAATTGCAATCCCCACACAGATAGTCTAAAGCAAACCAAAAGTCACAGCTCAGCGAATAGATAATGGCATCTGTCTGCTGCAACTATGCTCAGACAACCGCCTATTCCCGGTGCATCAACTTCGAGCATGAGGAAGAATATCGTTCGTCGTGATAATCCTACAATCGACTCGACGATGGACTCAAATAGACTACATTATTGTCAGTTAGCGTAAGAGAGGTTTGATAGACTGCCGCTCATTTCGGAGCGCACTTTACTAGATTTAGACCATAGGTGTCTTCGAAGTATCGCTCGTATATTTTGGCACCATCGGTCTAACAATTTGCTGGTTAGACGCATAATACAAGGTTGGCAGAAAAAACCAACTAATTAGTTAGTGAATTGTTATTAGCAAAACCAAAACATGGTGCCAGTCCATGATGACACCGAACGTTGAACTGAGCCATGTTAACAGTTGCAAATTACTTGAATGGGGTTTTTGTGATTATCGTAACTTACGATGGAGACGGTACGATAACTCGATATCGTATCTTGGATGCCCAGCCTGTTTTACTATTGCGTTATATGCTCCTTACATCGACAGACATAATTAATATGTAATGCCACTCGAAAGTGAAAAATATGGCAGTAGAAGGGTAAGAAGATCGAGTTGAAGAGAATAGAAAGAGAAGTATGGAGGGATTGTGGACTAGAAGAATCATGCAGAATGTGAAGGACAAATGATGGAAATTCGCAAATGAAGTATTCAGCGTAAGGTCTTAATATTTTAGCAAGATATTCTGTAATTTTGGTTGTTCTCCACTTGTATTGTCGTTCAGAAAATTACCACCAAAACTGCTTCTACATCTAATACTTTGAGGTTTGTCGTGCCAATTTCATCTTGCTGTGGTAATACGGTGTGGCAAATCGAATTGCTGTATACACGTATCAGTTTTAACATAATGTTTAACTGACTAACGGTCAAATGTTGCTTAGATTACTGACGTATTTTTCGAGAAAATCTTTCCGATCAACTAGATAAGCGTCAATGTGCCAATCGAACTAGTTAGATCTTTACATTTCAATTTGAAACAATCAGATGGATGAGAAAATTGATAACTGACTTGTTAAAACCACCATGTTCTCATCTTGTGAATGAATATAGCATATGACACCTTTATTAAAATAAATATGATAGGCCAATCGAATTACACCTGAAAATTTTCTAATCAATGTAGTACATTTGACTGAATATTTTCTACGTATTGGATGGTATTATTTTCTGCATAAAGTGAAGTGTATAAAAAGTAAAATATGTACAAAAGAGAATTTGTTGGTTACCAAAATCACAATTCTATAAATATAAAAGAATGCGCTCTGGTCGTGCAGCTTGGATTGGATTGAATACAGCCTCATATATATGTGAATTGGTATTTTTGGGTTTGGCAATTACAGTACAAATATCCACCGATTGGGCTGTTTACGATGTCACGTACATTGGCCTTATTGATAATTATAACCAATTAAGTCGCTCTCGTGGATTATGGAAGCAATGTATTACTAATAAAATAGGTAAGGTTTCAAGTGAAATATCTTTATTAATATAGTTTACTATCAATTGTAATCTACTGTAAATAAATATATATAATTACTCTCTTGATTGTTAGAATAATCGTTTGTTTCTGTGACCATACATCTTATAGACTGAAATCAAATGAAAGACGAATGAGTGAATTTCAATGTAAATAGTAGAAAATTGAGGAATTGATAAAGGATTGGTCATAGTCTAGGATAGAAACTTCAGGTGAGACTAATTTATGGACGACATTTGAGCGATGCCAAAGTGACCTAGAGAGTGTCTACTTACTAACTAGAGCCAAATGAGGGTTATAAGACAGTTTGAAGAATAAGGAATTTGACTTACATTTGATGGTTGGGGTAAGAATTAGATTTCTGGTTTTCATCATGAATTGACATCGATAGCTTCAAGACGCTATTTGACCAAATGGATGAGTGAATTACGCGCCGAAATCCAAGGTCTATTATTATAAATCTGATTGATTCGTCCATAAATTATAGTCTTCGGATAACAATATCATTAAAATTCATTTTCAAATGTACAGATTAACGATCCAATATAATTGATGATTTATGCGCGAATCGTGGTGAAGAAGTCTGATAGAAAACGCAATTGAAGTTAAAATATACAATCTGAAAAGGCTATTCATAATAGTGAGAATGTTATAACAGTAATATTAAGAAAACAATGTGTTGACCTATATTAATTATCTAGACAGCGCTTTATCTAGAAACAATGGATTGCCAAATGTGGATGAGGTCATAATTTGCAGGTGATCATTGAGTGATTGTGAAGTGACCTTGTGAAACTTCGACTAATTATTACTCTCAGTATAGGGTTATGGATTATTATGAGGGATGAGGAATAAGCTTTTTACTTTTGAGCTAAGAAACAGAGTTAGAGTTGTCATGATGAACAGATATCGGGTCTAATATGAATAATATTCAATACTTTTATGATAAACATTAAAATTTACAATTTTAATAGACAGTTCTATAATGAATTCCATTTGTGATTGTTTTGAGAAATATCTATTTATGAAATATGCATTATCAAATCGTGAATCCAGTGTGCATATCTGTTATCATACTGAACATTGAATGTCCACAGCATCTCGACAGCATCCATAGTCTGATTGAAAACTTAGTTTAATAACAAGTACGACTGCTGGCACATTTTTAACGCGAATGATATGAATTTTAATCTTAATCATAACGGCTTAGATTATCCGTAACGTTCTCAATGCTCAGTAAACAATTTTCCATCCATCGCTTCCGACCATTCTTTCGTTCATTAAATGGATGAGCGATGCTTACTGAAGTTTATTGCTCAACACAGATTTCATCTTAAGTATATGGAGTTATCTGCAATCTTTTCTCATACATATCCTGGTAAATAGCAGTCCATAACACCAGATAGAAAGAGAAATGTTGTTGAAATGAAACTTCGAATGGGATCTTTGGTAGACAGTACTCATCCACTGGATTGACTGAGAAATCAACCAAAGCATCGAGTCCGCAATACCTATTGGATATCATACACATTACGGTAAACTTCATCAACCAGAGTTGTTTATTTACTATTGATACTGCTTATTTGGTGTTGAACATGAGTAATTGATAAATAACTCATGATTAGAAATTAGTTTCTACTTTTAGACTGTTGCTTCCCAAATCAGTACATTATTCAATGAAAGCTAACATATTGTCCTTAATAACACATCGATTGTTTTAAACAAATGAACACATTGATTTGATGGAAGAGAAATCCATTCACTTCATTTCTTTCCTTATATGTATTTTTAGTAAGTTCACCATACAATGGTCAATGTTATGCTCTGGAAACTAGTACAGAATCTGGCAGCTACAATGGTAATGTTCAACCAATATTATGTAAGTCGGTAAAGTGTTTTCTAAAATATATACAGAACAATGGATGGGAAAATACTTTTTGAAATGAACATGAAATTCGTCACTAGTATAGGGGAGTTGTGGATATTGTTAGATTTTATAGTTTTACATGATGGACTAATTATTAGAGATCAGGAAGCATTGGACAACTGATCGTCGACGTATGAGAGAAATGAGGATTGCTCATGAACGACGCCACCGTTAACCGACTTCACAAAGTCCAGATGTCTAAACGAGTGCGTATCCTCGTGGAACTATGTTGACATTCGACTGTTGACAATTTGACCTTCAATCACTTCTCGATATTGATCTCATACCTGACACGGTTGAACCTCACTAATCATGGCCTCTGTCACTCCTGTGAGTTAGTGATGCAAGACTATGAAATATTTCATTTGAGATCTGGTTGAACATGAATTCATAGTTATCTCACTCTATTTTGAAAATCTTCAGTCAGTTTAGATAAAGAAGACTACCATATGTTAAATTTCAACGAGTTAGGATAAATTCTCAGAATTACTAGACACTCTGTATAGGATCGTAGTAATAGAATAGGCTCGAAAGATAGCCATTTGAAAGTTGTATATCATGTGAGTGTACTCTTGACAACCTATTTGTGCAACATTAGAACTCCAAAATGATGTAAATATGAATCATCGGATTAATCGTGGTAGCTGAGTGAACTCGAGTATTTAATGAATATAACGGCTTTGTGATTGATATAAAATCGGTTTCGTGAGGATTTTCGATCCATCATGGAGATCGGTTCAGCAAAAGACTTGATCATCTTGATAGGCGACATTAATTTCAGGGTGACTGTGGACTACACCATGTATGAAAACATAGTACGGCTAAATGGAGTGGAAGAGACGAACGAGAATATTCATTGACAACGAAGTTTTTGTGCTTTCAACAACATATGTGTTGGTGGTACCGGTTTCACACACAAATGTATACTGGACTACACTATGTGTGATGAGATTAATAACTAACATATCAATAAATAATTAGTAGGTTCCATGGAAGATATGATAACAAAGAAGGGAGATGATTTTGCTTGAGATTATCACCTGGTGGTATTAAACTCAAGACATATTCTAAACAAGCATTGATAAATCAGACAAGCAACACAACAGAGTTAAATACAGCCTCATTCGAGATACCGGCAGACTCACTGAGTTCATGACAGATCTCAGCAACAAGCTCCGTGCCTTAAAAGATCTGATAGAAAAACAGGAATCTACTATGGAGAAACACTGGGCAGGGACTGAAGTAGTAATAACTTCAGCATCTCCAGATTGGCTGAGCCGTGAGAAGTGTCCGAAGAAAGACTAGATCTCTGCAAACGCTTTGAGCAAGATTCGAGAAAGGAGGGACACGAACACATTAATTAGTAACAGTGGAACAAGAGTAGAGAAAGTCATGGCACACGTTGAATACACAGGAGCACACAAGAGAGTGAAGAGGAGCATTAGAGCTGACAGACAGAAATGTGTGGGAGATCGAGCAAGATAACGAAATATGCGACACGTATATGATACAACGAAGAAACTGGCAGGCGAATTCAGTAAACCAGAGTGAACTGTCAAGAACAAGGAAGGCAAGCCAATCACCGACATTCGGGATCAACCAAACAGGTGTGTAGATCACTTCGATGAACTCTTGAATAGACCAGTCTCACTGAATCCATCGGACATCGAAGCAGCACACACAGACCTTCCTATAACTTTCATCCCACCTGTTATGTCTTAAAAGGACGGCTTATCATCATGTGATCTATTCACCAGTCGAAATACGACGTATTCAATCTGTGCTAAAATATTGAAGTTCGACCCTAATGGCAGCCTAGTTTCCTTATTGGTCATTTGTTCGCCCAGCCCGTCCAGTTGAATCCAGAACGCCAATAACAGCTTCCACTATGTCACTGATCATTGCTGAACAATCGATTAGATGGAACCCATCTCCATACATCAACGTGCATGACTACGAGAAAGCACCTGACAGTGTGGATAGGATAAGCTTATGGAACCCTCTTCGGCACTTTGGTGTAACTGAGAAGATTGTCAACATCATACGGAATTCATACGGCGGACCACACTGCGAGGTCGTCCATAGAGGGCAACAATTTTTCTGAATCATTATACTTTACATTTTCTGACATGGTCAAAGGCATTGTGAGTCAGCTTTCCCTCCCAAAACGTTCTCGTATGGCCACGCGTATATACCATTGCCAGGGATGTCCTACTCACTGCCTTATTGGTGTAAAGGGTGTTGTTTATGAAATTTCGATAACAAAAAGCGAATGGTCGGCGCCTAAAACCGGTTGTGGGTATGAAGGATCTGCTCAGTGTAGTAGGAAAAAACAGGTACTGATCCGATGGTGCACATGGGCTTCAGTTTCCTGGGGAGATAAGTGGTATACGAACCTATTTTGTGTTCCATGAGGTCGCTTCTCTACTGCTTTGTTTATTAAATCTCTTGGCCAAAGCTTCATGATGTAGCCCCCTAAGGAAATCAAATGCTTCATTTAGGGAAATCGGGCAGTATCCCAACTATCACATAACGTTTAGTGGCACATGTATGTTTTGGGGATCCTTTATATAAATATACATGTTTTTAAATAAAAAACAGATTAGAAAATTTAATATTATCTATAAATGGTAATCAATAAACCTTAACTCAGAAAATGTTATCAAATTCATTTTTTCTTAGTTATGAGAACAGCTATAAATTCATTACAAATCTCTGCAATCATTTTGGTTTTCATCATCATCGTTATAACGTGTGCCTTACTTCTTACGGCTTGTATGAGACCACATAAACTGAGATTTCGAACAGCTCAATATACAGCTTTGGGTGGAGGCGCAGCATTATGGCTTACAGGTAAATTTGTTTCATGCATAATACGTCGTCTTGTAATATTATAAGTGGAACAGTCGTTCGATCCTAAAAATATCGAGTTCTCAACCCAGTTTGAACTCACTTGGTATCACTTCAGTTCGGGTTTCACTGATAATAATATTGCTACCATTTGAACAGTGATTGTGAATAAACACCTAGTGCTTTAATCTGTACTAGATAGATGAGTTATGTTGTCATATACGTATAAGTATATTCGTCACAAACAATCAATCAATCACAGACTCACTTTAAATATTTGTGAACATTTTTCTACAGATCGGTAGAGCATGCTACGTTCACACATATGATTACTTATAGATTTCAAAAGAACTTTATTTACTAAACAGTAAACATATTTTCCTCATGATCAACATTTCTGGTTGTGTCACTTATGCTTACCCCAAATCATCATCGAAACTAATTACAAGTAGTTGCATAAATTCCCAAAAACCGATTCATTACTTTTTGAATTCAAGTAGTATCGAGCATATATAGAAGTTTCTGTATGAAGTGACACGATTGAAGTGTGCATATGTTAAAAATCTGTGACACAATCAGTAAACTAAGAGCAATAAACCTACAGAATGTAGTCATCATTCTTCAACTTCAATAGACATGAAATACTTTTGGCAAAATAGAATAGTGTGGTTTAGACATTTAGAAATGATGAGATTGATGTTACGACAAGTTTACTGTAACCTATGTATATTAAGAGTTTATCGGTGTCATCACGGAAGATTCACTTGAAAGATCCATTTGAAAGAAAATGGCCATTGGAAAGAATGTTATTAACAAACACAATACATTTGTAATATCTCGATGAGTGTAAGAATGAAATTTTCTGACGTTTTGTGGCTCACTGTAAGCCACTTCTTCAGAGTATTATTATGTTTATGATTATGATTATTAGCAGTATTCCTACTGGTTGTATTCAATATTATATTTTTGGGATAATATAGAAATCTCCGTACAAAGTATTTCAACAAGTTTCCTTTACAAAACACCCAGCGACAAAACCGATAATTGCATACATATATACGAAAACTGAGTAGATAAAATGCCTGGAATTGAATGAGGTGGCTTTTTGAAAAGAAGATTTGAATCTGTACGACATTTCAATTGTAAACATGTTTAGGGATACGAGTTATTGATTGGATCAGGATAAAAATATGAATGAAGTGAATGGTTAGTATGTGATGAGATAGTATGTGACAGGAGTTTGCAAGATTTTAGATGACTATTCAGAAGAACGTCGAACCGATTAATGTAATGTAGTAAAATATCAAGAAACTTAACGGGTTTGATAAACCAATATCATCATGTAATGCTGTGAAATTACAAGCAATTACTTGTTGTGATCAGTTACGTAGAACTGTTAAAATAAGGATGAATCTTTGTTTGTACAATGTATAAACAAACAAATATCGTGTTAGCTCCAAACTGCTTTCTCATCAATCTTCATTTCTAACTATTCACTATGAATTTCAGATGAATGTGTATGCTTATTTACAGATCAAGTTTCAACGTTTTCGCTCATTGAATTTCATTTTCTTGATCCAAATAGGTTTAATTTATTTCATCAGTCTTCTAATATATTACGAAGATATGACACAAGAAAGTTATCGACTAGATACTAAGCTAACGTCAACCAGATCTGCATGGAGAACGGTAAGATTGAAACGATAAGTAGATAGCTTTGTACCTGTTTACTATTGTCAGTAGGTTGTAAAATATTGTCAAATATTTCAACACATACTACTAAAATTTTATATTGAATTACTCATTTGAGTTGTGTGCGTGAGCTTGCAAGCATCAACTACAATCTGTTATAAGAGATCACTGACGATATTTGTTACACTCTCAGATCTACTCTATTTGTCCAGATGTGTAATATTCACTGCAACAGTATGAATGTGACATTACTATAATAGTCCTTTCAATAAATTTATGATTTATGATAGTGTTCAGTTTTCCGTTGAAGCAAATTTCAGGAATCTTACTTACCATTTGATTCTCGTATAAGACATCCAGTATTCTATCTTAAATATTCAGATGATCATTCGATGCTTTCAGACTAATGCCAAAACTCATGCATCAATGTGAAACAGAGTTCAACCAGATTTTATTTTGAGATTATTCTGCGTATTGATAGACAAGTAACATTCGAAGTACTGGAATCATGTTGCGAGATTTCGAATATTGAAGTTAAGCACAAATCTTAATGTGGATGAAATGAGTAGTTGTAAGGAGTGATTTCAAGTTCTTCAGTTCAATATTTCAATCTGATCATTGGATGACATTCTACCTACCGACTTGATAATATGAGTGTTCGATAGTGTTCTGGCTATTGTCCAAACGGTCTTTATGCTAATCACACCTTGTGATGATCGATCGTGATATCATGAGCTAATTGCAATGTCCACTTTCACATCCTTTGATCTGTGAAAATTTCTGAAATACTCCAATTCTCATGTGAACCATATTTGTTGTAAGTTTTGCATGCATCAAACTGACCCTGTGACATAACAACCAATTGCAGCACAAGAGGAAACTACCTATACAATCTCACAGATTAAACAGACCACTCATGAGATTTTCATGATCTGACACACAAAGATCATGCTAACAACGTTCAATTGCTTAATGCATACAACATTTTCAGAGAATACGAAACAAGATCCTTCGTCTGAGACATTTAAACCAACATGTGATTAGTTAGTAATTAGTTATGAGATTTACATTGCATTGATGCCCATACGACACATCATGTTACGGATGCACATATAGATGTAAAGCCTCTCTGATTATAATGATCATATGCTCACCAGTGACTAGCTTCAAGAGGCATTTCCTGAAGATCTAGTGAGAATCCGTGGCCAGTGGAGTTCAACTAGATCTGTTGTGAGATAGTAACTCACTGAAGGCATTGGTGGATGTGTCGCTCAATCTCGGGAATTAATTGAAATCAGACATTAACACCATTGGATGCCGGCTCAGTGGTCTGAGGATTAGGCGTTAGCGCGCGAGAAATATAGGTCCTGTGTACAAATCTCGCGAGATGGGATCGTGCATGCGCACTGCTGAGGAGTCCCACAATAGGACTAAACGGCTGTCATGTGCTTCCAGGCTTTCCATGGTTGTCTAGCTTCAATTGGTTCATGATTTTAGCTTTTAAAATTACTATAATACTCACAAAAACCCCGTTTGATATAATTAATGTGACTAATGATGGTCTTCAATTGAGTGGGTGGGTTCGGATAATTGGAAATTAATGAGTATTTTTTGTACATGACCAGTCACACTCTCTAGTTGAAAGCTACTAACCGTCACATTACATTACGTTGCATTACATAAATACATCATTTCTTAATGGATGGATCCACAAATGCATTACAACAATCAAAATTTGATGTCGAATGACGTTTTACTGATCTCTTGTGGAGAGCGATTTCTGAATTCACATAAAATTCACAAACTACTCACATTATACAAACCAATCAATCTAATCATCATTGGATGACATGGACATTCTGTTTTGAACTTCGTTAAAAGTTGAATGTGTGAACAGTGAGAGTATTTGATTGTAGATGATATGTATCTGTAAATAGCCCTATCTCCATATAGCTGGTAAGTAACTGGCTTGAAAGATGACAAAGTGTACTTATCAGTGATGATACTGAGATCTTAAATAGGCAAATACGTTTTGGTATTATATATGTTTATGTTATAGGATTTGATTGATTTATAAATTTCTGCTTACCTAGATTGTCCGTGATAATACGGTATATTCTCATGGTGGTATGGTACCTATGGCTTGGTCAGCTTGTTTACTTATCTATGCTGGTAGTATTTTCCAGTTGATGGCAAGTGTTTTTGAACAACCAATAAAAGAAGAAACTGAATAATATGTAGAGAACTACGAAGAGTAATAATTCGAGTTTGAAATTGAAAACACTCCTTTATAATCCAATTAGTTTCTTACTGCCATTGGATATTATTTCCACATGTGCACATGTGTAAACTGTGTTGCTTTCTATCACTGATTCCAATTGTTTCCTTTTCGTATAGTCAACAATAAGTTGATACTCTTTGAACTGTTATGATTTCGAATGTAATTGACGTAAATTATTATTATTATAATTATTATTAATAACACGATATATTCTGAAAATACCAATTACAGAATTCATACCAGTTTACAGGCATAATCAGCTTGATATAGATCGTGTGATATTAGGTTGTTTGATATGTTCTAGAACAAGATATATAAACGAATAGTATTGTTTTCGATTAGATCCTCATCAGGCTTTACTCTAATATACAGTAGTATTTACATGCATATGCAAAATTAAAAAACCAATCAACGCAGTTTATGAGTCAGTGATAACAGTGGAATAGATTACGTAAATAAACATAATAAGTGAAAAGTACAAGTTGGTAGTACGATCACAGGTCTACTAGTTGTGATAAGAATAACAAAGTCTTGAGTCAGTGTTACATAATGTGAATGAGGTCAATTATTAAAAAAATGCAGACACTGAAAAAACATTCACAAAAGATTATGCAATAAAAAGCGTTCAGATAATTGGACCGTGAAACGTATATTTGAGAAAAAAAGTAAAAGGTGAGGGGGGGGTGAAGAGAAATAAACGAGGAAAGAGTATTGATGGTCAGTGGCTAGCAGTGGAATCCAGGACGCGCGTTTCATCCTATTTGGGACTCGTCAACTGGATGTACCCGCATTCCAGAGTTGATGTTCACTCTGGGAAGAAAGATTATGGAAAATAATACTAAATAAAATCATTTATTAAGGTCAAGGGAGAGATAAAGGTGTTAGAAATTTCCTATGAACACGAAGAATTGGAGTATTGGCTCGAATAGCTTCTGCTATATGTTAGAGACGAGATTGAACCCCTAATAAGGAAAACTAGTAGGAATACGATAAATAACTTTAAATGACTTATTTCTGTCTAATACATGACCGCTATCTATCAAGTATGATAGAACTGAGCTGCGTATTGTCTTTACAGTACCTTTTCCTAACCACGAAGGGATGTGTTTACTAGATTTTGGTTTATTTGTCTGGTAGTGCTCCCAATATAGTATAGTATTTCGATGAAAAAGATTAGATTAAGTTTAAGTCTTCTCTTCTTTAAAGGGTCGAGTTCAAGTTCATCACATCTGTATTTATAATTTAAGGTGCAATTAGTGCCAACACTGTGAAATGTAAGCCGTTCCTGAATAGACTTTAACTTTACCAGTAAGATATATTCGATTGTTTGAATAGTTTATACAAACTTTGAGAATGAAGCGAGTGAAAAACATATATTTTGATGTAGATAAAATGACAAGTGATTCGGTAAAGCTCACAACAAAATAAGCAAAGTTAAATAATAATAGCATGTGGTTTTTAGTAGTTATCTGAATATACAAGTGTAAATGATAACTTGATAAGTGCCTCCTGCTAAAAAAATTCGATTTAGGTTTTCAAATGTTATTGCACTTCTTCAGTTAAATGAAGTGTCTGCTTCATTTTGTTTGTTGACAATGTGGAAGGATTGGCAATGTCAACATCAACTCGCTAAAACCTAGATGTTGAGCTATTGCACTATTTACAGCTTTTAAACTATTTAGTATCAATTATATGGAACGTGTACCACTCTCATTGTGTTTTCACTTGTGTGTTGCTTCAAATACATGTACATTGGTAAATGCAGTTGCATTTACTGACAAAAGGAGATCCTTCAAATTTTGTTTGTCTTAGAGAGCAGTTCGTTTTTTGATGAATCCAGATTCTCGATAAGCAATCTTCACTTCTATCGTCATTAAATATTTCAGTAATTTCGTCTTTTCGAGAGCTAAAATGCAGAAAGGAAGCTTCCTTCGCATTAGTTTCGATATACTTCTCGATAAATTTCTGTAAGTATCCACTTCCACGTAGATAAATTTTAATGAATGTAATCACTTCTACTCTCTCAATGGATCAGAGAAAAGGTGTTCAAACAATCGCTTTTGTAGTTCACTGGATAACAGGTTTATTCGATGGCTTTCCTTTAGGCTGCACGATGATACGGATTGATGGATAACGAAGAGGCTACAGGACATTTATTAAATTCAGTCAGTCATAGACAACTTAAAATCTAGAATATATCTGCACCGGTCCAAGTTCCCACACTGAGATAACAAAACGTAGTGAAACTGTCAAGATAAATACCGAAACATTATTACCATCGGTGGTTGTAAAATGGATTAGGTTTAGAGAATATGACTGAAGAAGAAAGAAATGATTCGTAGGATGAAAAGTGAGGAGTGGTTATGAATTTCAGGTTATAAGAGAACACAAAGAGTGCACATATGTGAACTGCATGACACAATGTCTCCAACCATTGATAACCTCAAATGAATAGTCTACACACATTAACGCGGTTCATAAATATGGTTAATGATTTTGTGCTGTGATGGGATATCTTGATTTAGTTCTCTTTATCTTTTTTCCGTCACACTACAACCGACATAATGCGTCGACGTAGGTGGTTGTTAATACTACGTAGTAAATGTGGCAATGAGTTTAATTGATGAAGACTCAGTACTTCGTGAACTGGTTTGCCATTTGTGCCCAGTGCTGTACGTCTAATATAAACACTGATTATCTTATGATCCTAACATTCGTGATTAATGCTCTTAAGGTATTTGTGATTAAATACTTGTAAACTATGAATATACTGTACTTTTAAAGTCTTCATTTTGGAGTTAAAAAGTAAAATAGAACGAACTGTCACATTATAACTTACTGTTTATTTTCTATTCGTTGCTGTCTTACTGATTTGTGTTTCATATTATGACCATAACCGATCTAAATTATTACTCGAAATGCCCAATTGTTACATCAGTTTATGTCCTTCTTTATCAGTGACGTACAAATAACTAATAATTCATAATTTAATGATACGTAAAAATTGCTAATAACAGATTGAAATTAATATAATCCTATCTACGTTTGAGAACATTCACATTTCATCTTGTTAACTTTTATTTCATTTAAACTAGAGACTAATGTTTCAGTATATCTTCGATATAGGTTAATTATCAACCATTTAAAATCTTTAATTATTAAAAATCACATTTTATTCTCTGGTTGAAATCGTAAGTCAACTGAAGTTAGACCACCATGGAAAACCTGGAAGCACTGGACAGCCGTATGGGACTCCTCAACAGTGCGAATCCACGGCCTCGCCCCCTGCGAGATTCGAACCCAGGACCTACTGGTTTCGCGCGCGAGCACTTAACCACTAGACCATTGAGCCGGTATTCAACCGTGTTAATGTCAATTGACCCATGATTTCAACCAGTGAAATTTCTAAAATCTCCACAAAACCCCTTCACATATTCTACTTGAAATGTAGCGTCATTCTATTGACGAACTAATATTTTTGGAGTGTCAATAAAATCATAGGACAATCGATTTTGTTTAGTGTTAGCATTATCATCTATATGTAAACGTTTTACTAGATACATAAATTGAACATATTTTGTTTTGATAGGGTTTTGTTCTTTGAGCTAGAAGGTTTGAATCAAACCATTCAGCTCAAAGAACAAACCTTCATTAAAATCATCCACCAAAGTTATTCATCTTCTCCACCATCTTGAATATATTTGTCTTAAATTACAAAGTTTCCTTATATTTATTCAATTTTTCTTTTCATTATAATAAGTATCAATTATTGTAAAACAGAATGTATACTATTCAGGTATATATCTATAAACATATTAGAATGTTTTGTGTCGTAGATATAAATCAATAACAGTCTTTGTAACACCGAGAAAATATGCACAACTCAACCTTGTTACTCTTCTTGGTAGTAATCAATAAAATAATTTAATTAATTAATTAATTAATTACTCATTTACTTATTTATATTATCATTCATTTGTATAAAATATACCCATAAGAAGAAATGAATAAAAGTATTTATGTTATGTATGGCATGATTCCAATCAAATTTATAATTTATATTATTAATTATGAATTAGATACCAAAGAAAAAGGAACAAAATCTGTTGTTTTTGTTTTATTTTTAAGTTTTTCATTTCATAAGATTTTAGAATCATTTACACATATAACTAGATATGATCGGTAATCGATTGATAGTAAATAGTTTACTTATTTTTAGGTCCCAAGATGCCCTGGTACGGCCGAGAGTAGGGAGAGTCCGCTCTCTCTCTCTCTCTCTCTCGAAATGCTCTCACATGGCCACGCGTATATAGCCTCTGCCGGGGAAGTCCCACTCATTGCCTTCTTGTGGCATTACTGTTGTTTACGAAATTGAGAGGATGAAAAGCGAACGTCCGGCGCTTTAACCGGGTTGGTGGACATGGAGAGTCCATCTAGGGGAGTTGGAAAACCGTGATTCCAAGCCAATGCTGCACATGGGCTCCAGTATGCTGAAGGAATAAATGACGTATGAACCAATCGTTGGTCACCGGCTACCATGGGACTGCATCTCCTTACGATGCTCCACTGCATTGTGAGCCAGACCTTCAGGTCGAAGGCTCCGGGTGCGGCCACCTAAGAAAACCACTTGCTTCGGTTTGGGCACCTGGGCTGTATAATAGCCCTCACACATATCAGATGAGGTCTGTGTGGCGCATATTTATTTGGTGCCTCCTTGTACTAATATCTGTGTTAAAATAATGTGGTGTTTGAACGAACTAATGATACATTTGTACTTGTTGATTGCACGATTTCGAACTCCAAATACATTACATTTGCTTGTGCTTGTGTCTTACTTCTTAATTCAATTGCGTTATCTCTGCGACTCTTATTTCGTACTATAATTCAAATAATTCGAAACATTATATATAAATAAATAAATAGTTTTCAGTAGGTTATGTTTTAATCAGGTTTTTGAAGAAACAATGATTTGCAGATTGACTTTTATAAACTGAGAAATTCTTGTGTTTTATGCATGAGCGATAAACTTCCTTGTTTATTTAGCTCTATTTGTTCATTTGCTGTTGTAAAGTGTACTGAACGTTGATAGGGTCCACTTTGAATAAATCTTGCAGAATATACTACAGTGTATTTCTGTAAAGATGATGATAAAGAGATTAGGTGTT